TTTAGATCCTTGGGCAGTTCTTTCTTTATTAGGTGCTTTCTTAACCGCCTCTGTGATCTGGTAGTCAGAGTTCCTGGCTACAGATCCAGAGGTCCCGGGTTTGATTCCCGGCGCTACCAGATTTTCTGAGAGATAGTGGATCTGGAACGGGATCCACTCAGCTTCGTGAGGATAATTGAGGAGCTGTTTAAAGAAAATAGCGAATCCGGTCTAGAAAACCGAAATTAACGGCCGTGGGGATTCGTTGCGCTGACCTCGCGACACTCTCTATCCGCTAAAGTTGGTACTAACTTAAGCGACAAGCGGCGGGTCGCTGGGTCGGTATAGTTCGCTTGCGGACTCAGGCCACGGAGTTTTTCTTAGGTGTTTTCTTATTTATTATTTCTAAATTGTGACAGAATTTGTTAATCATTTAAAATAAAACAATTAAAAGTCTGTATCAGGTATTTTAGTTACTGCTGCTGGCAGTAGGATTTAAGTGAGCGTCTTTCCACGTAAGTTTCGTGTACATAACCCAACCTTTTGGTCCAGGTGTAATTGGCCCTAACGTGGGGTTTGTGTGTTGCATGCATCAGTCAGCTCAGTTAATCATCAACTGCCAGTCCCATGAAGAAGATTCCCGTCTGAAGTGATTGCAGAGTAAACGTGCAAATTGAACGGTGTGTGGAGGTGGAAACTACACCCTCCATGCATAATGGGAAAGCTCAAGTGCCGGTTAGGGGCACTGATTGAAGCAAGGGACGTCAAGTGGTTTACATTATCCGTCAGTTGCATCTCACTCTACGCTGTCAGCAGATCCCATATTATTATGGCTCTGCAGCCCTTTGTTGGGCCTTGGCTGTTTTTTTTTTTTCAGGTTCGTAATCTGTACACAGTCTGTAGGACTCCTTGGACGGGGGATCTGCCCGTCGCAAGGCCTTTGTCTGCACACAGAACAACACAAACACAGAATAAACGCATACAGACATCCATGCCTCAAGTGGGATTCCAGTGTTTGAGCGGGAGAAGACAGTTCATGCCTTTTAGACCGTGCGGCCACTCTGGTCGGCAGTCAGCAGATCCACATGGCTTATATCACATTTTGTCCCGTATCCGTATCAAGAAGCTTAATTGGACAGTGGCGACATTTATAGACATTCAGAATTCCCGTACCGAATATCTGAGATTTTGTACATGAAGGATCGAAACAGGTTTCACAAAAAAAATTCTTACATCCCACAAACAGTTACTAGTTTACAAAGATCCATATATGTGTTGGTAGTTGTAATAGCGGAAACTGCAGCTTTCTGATAGTCAAGTGTCACGTCACCCGGAAACGCCATGACGCAGTTTGAACCGTTGCACTCCTTAATATGAGCTTCGGGTTCCGTTCGGAACAGGTGAAATGCTGGCAACCCAGAGACTTTCTTACCAGTGCAGCAACTTCGTCTCTCCTTTCGTTGGCAATTAAAATCCGACATTCCGCATTATTTGAGCTGAAACAAAGTTGTATAGATTGTCTGGAATAGCTCATCACGCAGGTGTAAAAGAGGGCAGTTAAGATCTACACGTCAGTTATGACATGTAGTAGTTAAGAGGCTTCATTTACTGAATAAAATGTGCCTTACATATTTCAGCTCTATGGAGCCATCATCAGAGGCTTACGTGCTGAAGAATAGATTACTTAGTGTACATTAATTTATAGCAACATTTAAATTTGCATTCCTTTAAAACTGAGAGTGTAGAGAGTTCTTGCTCACAGACCCGTTACAGGGTAATGGCCGCAACAGGCGCACACGCAGCAATGGCGGAACTGTTCGATGCAGTGTTTTCTGTGCGCTTCGTGCCGAGGAGCAACTCCGATTACGAGAGTGTCTTGAGACAGCAATTAGAAGAGTAGGAGGTTGCTGTGGGAAGGCCGCCAGCCTGGGAGTTAGCGAAGTTGAGTTGAGTTGAGAGTTCGGCAGTTGGAAGCCAGTTAGTTCAGATCGGGAGCTGCACTGAACGAGGACGTGACGCCGTAAACACGGAACAAGAGGGATCTACGGTGTTGGAAACCGTTACCAGACAACGATTGGTGAAGACACAGCAGAGTGAGAAGACTTAATACGTGCTGCAGTGAACTGCTGCAGTTACTTGTAGTTACGATCTGTAAGTGTTCAATGAATCCAATTACCGGTCTGAACCCCATCTCTTGTCACAATCACGTGACAATATAATTTGCTAGTGGACTGCGTAATATTGTGCATATTCTGGCTTCACCTGTAGGTACAACAATCTACAATATAAGGGGTTGTAAATGTAAATGTCGCTAGAAATTAATTTTTGCCAATCAATTCTGTCTCTACACTTAAGCCCTTTACGGTTGAGACATGAACGGCAAGTAAGTTTCTTAATTACTACATGTCAGCATATTTGACGGTTTTACTGCATCATTGTCAGTATATAGTATAGCGGCTGAAATGTCTCACATAAAATGAAGATCTATGTATTGTAGCATCTAGACCCGTTGCTAAGTAGTGACTTGGTAAAAATATTCCCGCTACTGGGCAACAGATTCCTAACAAGCAACAATTGAACTACAACAGTGAGGAGCGCTGTTTTCTACGCGATCCGTGCCGAGGTTTTATGGGCAGGACAAATGTAGAGTGTAGTCAGCTGTCAGGCATTTGGCAGCCAGTAAGAACGTAAAAAGAGAACATTGTTACGATCCGTTACCAGGAAACAGCTAGTGAAGCAGGCTAAGAAGACTATTAGTATGTGCTGTAGTGAACTGCTGATTGTGTGAATTACGGATAGCTCTATAGTTACGATCTGGAATTGTCAATAAATCCAATCACCAATCCAAACCCCGTCTGTAGTCACTCATACGTGTGACAGAATTTTCTTACAAATAGAATGCCAAGAAAGCACTAATTTGTTATCCCAGCACAATCTGAAATAAAAACATCAATACTACTCTTGTGCAAGATCTCGACCCTGATACCTGCAATTCGGACCCGGTTTCGGTGCCCCGTGGACATTCCGGGCAAATGCTGTGATATTACGAAATAGGCCAAGAGCCCTTTCTTTAACTTCATTTACAGTTGAGCATACTGTTACAGCCAAACGTCATACAGCCTAACACATTGACAATGATTGCTGAATAAACCAGGACAATACGAGCCGAGAGACGAAGCACGGAAGGATAGAGGTTACAACCATTCCTTCTGGTATTATTAGTCTTGCACTCATAGGGCTGAGCCCTTCTTGAAAAGCGGCTAATTGTACAGCTGCTCAAGAACTTCCCAGCACTTTATGGAAAACGAAGGTTCATTACCGTGTTCACAAGATCCCTCCGCTAGTGTCTATCCTGAGCCAGATCGATCCAGTTTATCCTATCCCATCATATCTCTCTAGGATATATTTTAATATTATCTACCCACACACGTCTTGGTCTTCATAGTGGTCTCTGTCCTTCTGGTTTTTTCAACAATATCCTATATATATTCGTCTTCTTCCCATTCGTGCTACATGTCTTGCCAATTTTATCCTCCTTGCCTTGAAGAGTACAAGTTAAACTCCTCGTTATGCAGTTTTCTCTAACCTACTGTCACTTCATCTCTCTTAAGTCCAAACATTCTCCTCAACACCCTGTTCTCAAACACCCTCAGTCTATGTTCCTCCCTTAGTATCAAAGACCAAATTTCACACCCATACAGAACCACAATCAAAATTATAGTTTTGTGTATTCTAATTTTTATGTTTTTATTTTATTATTTATTATTTATTTTAGACAGCAGACGAGAAGACTAACGGTTCTGGACTGAATGACAGCAAGCATTACTCTAATTCAGTCTCCTGTTAATTTGCTCTTGAATGAAATTTCGATTTGTTACTTCCGTTCCCAGATATCTGAACTGTGCCACATTTTCAAAGCATATGTTAGCTACATTTATGTTACGATTTTGCCCTGCATTGTTGTGACAAGACAGCAACATATACTTATTTCTTTCCGCGTTTACTTCTAGACCAACCTCCTTACTAGCGTCAATTGAAGTTTTTTTTTTTGCCTTCTTCCTTACGATATCTGTTAACTCCCAGTAGATACACATCATCAGCATAGACCAGCAGCTGATGTGTCTCATTTAATTTCAGCCGCACCTGGTTTTCCGTGACCTTCCTAATGATATACTCTAAAGTATAGTTGAAAAGCAAAGGTGATAAAGCATCTCCTTCTTTTAGACCATTTTGGATATGAAACGTATCAAACATTGTATGTTCACCTGTACGGACTGTGATATAAGTTTCATTTAAAGAAATTTTAATCAACCTATCTGGTTTCATGGGTACCCCAAACTCTGTCAGAATATTGTACAATACTTACCTCCTATATGAATCAGGTTTTCTTCAAGTTTATGATTAGCTGATGTACTGTCTCATTGTGCCTTGAGAGAAGGATATTGAATAAAATTTTGTGTGAAATTGATAACAATGGTATCCCACGATAATTACTACAGTCACTTTTATCGCCTTTCTTGTAAACTGGTACAATAGTAGATTCCTTACTCTGATAAGACAATTCTTCCTTATTCCAAATAGAATTAATGAGTTTATGGATCTCAAACCATAATGTTTCACCTTGTTTCTGACTCTCTTGTCTCAAAATATTTTCCGCAGCGCCCTGTTCTCAGCACCCTCTCTCTGTATAATCGGAACACTTTCTAAGCTTTGTTGAAGGCACCAAGAGTAAACAAGCATGAGTAGTTATTGATTGTTAGACTTTCGTAATTACAGATGTTTATTTTGATCTTTGGTTCTTACACCGTGTGGCTTTGGGCTATGATTCCGACGTTTTGGAGGTACGTACTGCCACTGTCTTTGTCTCTGAAGACAGAGACAGTATTACCTCCGAAACGTAGACAACATCGCCCATAACCGCACGGTATAACAGCCCAAGAATAGAATTAACGTCGAACGTACGTAGCTCAATTGATAACAAAGATTGCACTGATACTTAATGATTTTTCTTTCCTTTCTAGGAACTGTGACGTTTATCATTGGATTTACGGGCTGTGTAGGTGCACTTCGTGAAAACACGTGCCTACTGGCAGCTGTGAGTACCTGTGCTATGTATTGCTTTGAAATTAATTGTCTTAATCAAAACGTACTATTTGTAGGTAATAGGGGTATAAAACGTTGACTTAAGATTGTGATCTTCTGACTTTATGACACCACGCAATCTTATAGGCTGATACCGACTGTTCGGAGGAATATGCTGCCTCCTTGTTCAGGGTTGAAGTGTGTAGATCCAGGAATTGGCTTGCAACCATGATATATCACCGAACCAATTTCTGAACGTACGCACTTCAACCTTGAAGATGGAGGCAGGATGATTCTTCGAAATATCTGTAACCCCCTACACGATTGTACGGCATCCAAACCGAGGAGATGGGTCTCATGGCCACCTTCCATGCCGCATATCTATATAACCGAGCTAATTCCTGAACCTCACGCATCAGTACTGAAGTTGGAAGCAAGGATTTTCCTCCGAAACGCCTGTATCCCCATACATGACTAACAGTGTTTGCAACCCAGAAGGCCACAATCAGAACCATGACTGCCATGAAACCGTAGAACTTATGAAATGTTTGAATTGATACAATTGTATATCAGTGTACATAGTTCATTGGATAAACTTGTCGACGTTGCAGTGTTATACGGTATTCTAAGTTGTATTAATTATAGTGAAATACTGATGATAAATCAGAATCCTTTGTAAAGAATTAGGGCAACTTGATGCATTTGTTGGAACTTGTAAACCTTAAAAACTTAAATATTTTTGTAAGTTATGATGATATTAGCCCCACCAATGGTATCTCCACCTTATCGTGGTGAAGGGGGTTTGAGAGCTCCTGAGACCCTGAGAGCTATGCCAGCGGTAGCGTAGCTACTGGTAGAGCCACCCATGCCGGACAGGTCAAGGGGTAGGAGCCAGACAGAGAGGCATACCCTGGTCCTCCAGGTTGGGAGTTGGGCTTGAGGCTAACGACCTCACACTGTAAAAACCAAATTGTTCAGAAATCCGAGGAAAGAGTAGCCGGACGGACCTATTCAAGACGACCTGGAAAAAGTTTAAAGGATTTGAGAATTGGATCTTGTAATGTATTATCTCTTTACAGAGCGGGAGCATTAAAAATGCTACTTGAACAACTAGATAGCTATAAACTAGATATCACTGCTATACAAGAACTGAGGTGGTTGGGTAAAGGAGTCATGGAAAAGAGGGATCATGTTGTACTCTATAGTTGTCAGAAGAAGAGTCACATATTTGGAACAGGTTTTATTGTTAATAAAAAAGTAAGCATCTTATTTTAGACTTCCAGGCAAAATGTCACAGAACATGTAGGCTACAAATTAAGGGAAAGTTTTTTTTTTAACTATAGCCTTATTTGTGCACATGCCCCAACTGAAAATAAGAGTGATGAGGAGAAAGACTCCTTTTATGATGAATTGGATGAAATATATGGTGAATGTCCAAAAAGGGATTGTAAAATAATCATAGGGGACATGAATGCCAAAGTGGGGAATGAGGATGTATATAAATCGGTTATTGGAAAGCATAGCCTACATAACAAGTCAAATGATAATGGGATGAGATTAATAAATTTTGCATCGTCAAGAAACATGGTAATAGGTAGTACAATGTTTAGTCACAGGGATATACATAAACAAACCTGGAAATCCCCTGATGGAAATGTGTTTAATCAAATTGATCAAATCCTAATAGATGTAGGACATTGTTCAGACTTCATGGATGTCAGGAGCTGCAGGGGAGCCAACATTGACTCTGATCATTACTTAATAATATCAAAGATTAGAAGTCGAATATATAATGCAAGGAAGATACATGGATCCCAGGCTAAGAAATTGAATTCAGGAAAATTGGTGGAACAAGGAGTTGCAACCAGATATAGTGGATTAATTGGTGAATGCCTGGCAGGTCTCTCTGATAGTGAGGATGTCAGTGAAGCTTGGAGGGACCTCAGAGATGTTATTATAAATTCTGCTGGTGCAGTCTTGGGAAGAATGGAAAGGGTAAAGTATAAGAATTGGTTTGATGGAGAGTGTGAGCAAGTGACAAATAAAAAAACAGGCATATAAGAGAATGCAGCAAAGGAACCATACTCGAGGGGCCGTGGAAGAATACTGTGATTGCATAAAAAGAAGAAAAGGAAATATGATAAGCAAGAACTGATTGAACTGGAGCATTCAAGAAGTTCAAACGAAATTAGAGCGTTTTATCAAAAACTAAACAAGAGTCGAAAGGACTGTCAACATAGATCAACCTTATGTAGAGATAAAGAAGGCATAATATTGAGTAGTGATGAAGCAATATTGGAAAGATGGGAGCAATATTTTGAGGAATTATTAAATAGTAACGCCTCTGAACAAGTGGAAGGTATGACCATAGACCGGACTCAAGGAAATTTTGAGGCTGAAGAACCAACGCCAACCATAAAAGAAGTAGAACAAGCTATCAAAAAATTGAAAAATAATAAAGCTCCAGGAATGGATTTCATCACGGCAGAATTAGTGAAATTTGCAGGCCCAGAATATGCCAAGCACTTACATCAGCTAATAGTTAAGATATGGATAACTAAAATAATCCCAGAGGAATGGAACCTAAGTATTGTATGCCCTATCCATAAGAAAGGCGATGTCATGGTATGCTCTAGCTATAGAGGAATTAGTCTGTTGTGCATAGCATATAAAATATTTTCCAACATTCTGTTTAACAGACTCTCTCCCTTTGTGGCAGGCATAATTGGGGATTACCAATGTGGGTTTCGTCAAGGAAGATCAACTAACGATCAGATTTTCACTATTCAACAGGTTCTTGAAAAGTGTAATGAATTCCAAATTGAAACACATCATCTTTTCATTGACTTCCGATCAGCCTGTGACTCCATAGATAGAGATAGTCTTTTTCTGGCAATGGAAGAGATGCACATTCCACGGAAGTTAATCGCCTTAGTCAGAACCGCTGTGAGAAAGACCCAATGCCAAATTAAGATTCAGAATATGTTGTCCAGCCCAATAATAATGGAGTTCGACAAGGGGATTCCCTAGTCTGCCTTTTGTTCAATATAACATTAGAGAAGGTAGTTAGAGATGCAGGCATCAACACAAGGGGAAATATATTCTACAAGTCAGTTCAAATTTTGGCATTTGCAGATGATCTTGATATAATTGGTAGAACACAAAAATCCATGAAAGAAGCTTTTATTAATTTGGAAAGAGCAGCAAAAAAGATGAATCTACAAATTAACCAAAATAAAACAAAGTACATGCCAGTAACCAACAAGGACTGTGCTAATGGACCTACATATATTGAAATTGGCTCATATAAATTTGAGGTTGTATGTAGTTTCACTTACCTTGGATCAGAAGTTAACTGTAAAAATTGCATCAGTCATGAAATAAAAAGCGTGTACCTGCAGCAAATAAATGTCTCCGTGGCCTTAGGACACACCTGAAATCCCAAGTAATACCCAGGAAAACCAAAACTATGATGTATAAAGTACTTATAAAATCAGTGCTATCTTATGCCTCTGAGACCTGGCCACTGTCAAGATCATATGAAAGACTGTTAAGTATATTTGAAAGGAGGATCCTGAGATATATCTTTGGACCAGTGGAAGAAAATGGAATATGGAGGAAGAGGTATAACCATGAGCTATACAAATTACTTAATGAACCAGACATAATTGGATTTATAAAGGTGAAAAGGCTTGAATGGGCTGGACACACAATACGTGCCGGCGAGACTTAACACCAAACCAGAAGGAAATAGGAGAGTGGGAAGACCAAGGTTAAGATGGGAAGAATGTGTGTGGCAGAACATACGAATTTTGGATATAAAGAACTGGAGGAATGTAGCATTGAATAGAGAAGAATGGCGAGCAATCCTGAGGAAGGCCAGGGCTCACAAAGGGCTGTCGTGCCAGTGATGATGATGATGATGATATTAGTCTTTTCACTAATATACCAGTTGATGTAGCCCTACAAATCATCAGAAAGAAGCTGCATAACGATCACACTTTGGCAGAACAGCCCATCCTGAGGGTTGAAGCCATCATTGAACACTGGCAGTTTAGTTGAGAATCGCCCACTTTCAGGTGGACGATAATTTCTTCCAGCAGAATGCTGGCATGTCTGTGGGTTCATCGCTATCCCCCACCGTTAGTAACATGTTCATAGGAGAACGACTCTTGGCATGGTGCAATACAAGCCATCGCTGTGGCCCCTGTGGTTTGACCTCATTGGCTAGATAAGTTGCAGAATATCTTACATCACCTCAGCAGTCTAAGTTCTTCCATCAAATTTGCTGTGAAAATAAATTCAGAAAGTACGATTCAGTTTATAGATGTTCTGGTCGTCAGATAAAAGGTCTGCATTGGCCATTAAAATTTATGGAAAACGCAACCACAATGGCTTCTACCTCAACACCGGATCTAATCGCCCTCCACATGTGGAAAGAGAAATAAGCCAGAGCCTATACACAGTAGAGCTTCTACCATATTCCAAGGCGGACAAGATCTATTTAATGAATTCTGTATTTCAGCATCAAATTAGCGTCCATTGTTTATCTTCTCTCAAAATTGCAACACTTTTACATTCTACACTTCAATACTACATGTAAAGACAACACCACACGCTGTGGAGGAAGCACACACAAACCAGGAGCATATGGCAGTCAAAAACTGAAAGTAGACCACGAACGTGAGGGGCAAGCTGCCGAGAAAAACACCTTGATACATTTACGAAAATGACGATACCCCAGGTGAGGTGAAATAATGAGCAACATAAATTTTAAAGGATTTTATCTCGTTTTACTTAAAAAGACTACAGCGTGTCACTTTAACACGACTTAAAATTAGTTTTAGCAAAATATCTGTAACATAGAAACACCTGAAGATGGCCGTTTGAGGCCGAAACATGTAGTGTTGAAGTGTAGAATGTAAAAGTGTTGCAATTTTGACGGAAGATAAACAATGGACGCTAATTTGATGAAACTGACAACCTGAAACTTGATCATCAGTGCAGTGGTTATCCACAGTGGTTCATTGAGTTACTTCTTAATTCCAAGGAAGTAGACATCCGGAAAAAGAGAATAAAGCCTCTTGGTTCTGTGTCTGTCTCCTATGTAGATGGAATTTTAGAGAAGTTAAAATGTATTTAGAATGCTTTGAACTCTCGAACAGTTTTCATATCTAAACACATTCTTAGGAGCAACTCGTGAGGGTAGTTGGTTATTGTAAAACATTAAAATCTTCAGTTTTTCCTCTGAATTGGTGTCACTGGACTTGGCATTGATTTGGTTGGATGCATTTCTTCTCCACTTCTTTTTCTATCATAGTGTCAAGTGTTTGTCAACAGAGATAAACTAATGGGTGGATGGTGTGATATCGTTCTGAATGTTCACGCCCCAACACAAGATGAAATTGATGATATAAAGGACAAGTTCTACGAAGAACTAGAACATTTATTTGCCAATTTATCCCGAAGTACCGTATGAAAATTTTGTTAGGAGATTTCAATGCCAAAGTAGGTAGGAAACTGCTTCATAACTTGTACTCTTCTCCAGGTACAATTAGAATGATCGAGTCAAGGAGGATGAGATGGGAATGGCATGTAGCACGAATGGGGGACAAGATGAATGCATTTAGAATATTGATGGGAAGGCCAGAAGGAAAGAGACCACTGGCAAGACCAAGACTCAAATGGGTGGACTCTATTAAAATGGATCTTACAGCGATAGAATTGGATGATATGGGTTAGATTGATATGGCTGAGGATAAGGACCAGTGAAGAGCTCTTGTGAACACAGTAATGAGCTTCGGGTTCCATAAAATCATGGGAAGTTCTTGAGTAGCTGCACTAGTGGGTGTATCAAGTATTTACATGCTTTTACGCAATTCTTATTGTAATTTGTCATGGTATTTGCTGTTGACAAAATTTGATCTCAGGTGGATATGTAGGTGTAATTACACTGACATCTAAGCTGTAAGAGTGAGATAGATTGAGTGGTAGTTGGTGGTGAGCAAGGAAATAAAGAAATGTCCATTGTTTGAAGCCGCTACCAGGCAGTGAGTAAATTTTTGTCGAGTTAAAATAGAGGCCATTAATATGTGTAGTAACGACTAGTGAAGACATAACTATTTGTAGTTTTTAAGAATGTGTAGTCTGTATGGATTAGTAGTAGATTAGTGGTGGTTTTATAGCAGTTGCTGTGAATAGCTAGCGCCACTCAGAAGTGCAACTAGTTCAACTCGCAGATAAGGCACAGAGTTGGTGTGCATGTTGTATTTTAGAATGAGGACTCTCACTACGCTATGCCAATGTGAAACACTGTGGCACAGTCTGTATTCGCTCCTTTTGATGGAATGTAAAAAGGTAAAAATAAAAGAAAGAATGAAAAGGTAAAGTTATCCCTGTAACAGGCTGTGGAGGCCCGTAAGGTTGTGAGACGCCGAGGCTCCCACATTTTCTAGACAATCGGCTCATAGGTGGCGTTGAGGTTATCAGCCTTACAAGCCGAACGCCGCCTTTTACCCTCAAGTAGATTCATTATACTCATTTCTGTTAGAGGCTGAGTCGACCCCATGGCCATAGTGCGGCTGGAAGAATTAGGTGAGTTGTAAAGTCCAATGACCTCATCGGGAATCGAACTCGCGACCTTCCGGCTTATAACGTCGCACCTCAACCGTCAACCCCTGTTGTGCTTAGTACTGAAAGAAAAATCTACCATCTAGGTAAGAAACACTCCAGTATCATCTAAGATGGCTGAGGAATTCTTATAAATGCATGAACGGGTGTTCCTTTGGGTCACCGACGTCAGCATCTTAACTTCAGAGGATGCCTGATGGAAAGGATTTGAATGGCAGCAGCAGCGGCTAAATCAAGGTATTAGCCCTGCATTTGCCCGGAAGGCCCGGTGAAGACCACAATACATCACAAGAATAATTGATGTCAGTGCTGAGATTCGAACTCAGCACCACCCAGCCTGCTCAGTAATGGTCATATTCAAGAATAATTTAATTATATACTCTCAAAATGAATAAACAATAATAGCGGACCTTTCGGACTCGAGAAAAAACGAAATGGACATAGTACGATTTGCTCTAGTTCAAACATGACAGCTTGTTCAGAACTGTTCCAAGGGACTGGCCATGGAGCAAAGTGGAAACAACTAGTGGACGCTATCGAAACAGGAAAATCCTCTGTAAGCACATGGATTGTCAGGCGCTGTTGGCTGGCAAACTGCGCCTGTATGCATCAGTATACAAGGAAATGGAAGGCAGTCTGCAGTCGAATAGTGAATAAGCGAGACAGGAAGCTCCATTCAAATCCGAACAAAACAAATACCGAAAGAGTGATAACAGGCCTGAAGATAAGGACTGTACCAGAAAGAATAAAAATCCACTTCCGAATTACCAAAAAGAGCCGCGCCCGGTGGAAACGAGTAACTTTCTTACGGGACTCAGGGACATACCCATGCAGAATTCGCAGTCGGGCTGCAGGGGAGGCTCCAGTATAACATCTGGGACAGGCGAAGATCTGAGCGGGGTAGACCCCCCCATCATGTTTACATCGGAGGCCAACTAAATGAGTCTAAAAAAGAACTTATAAGTATCATCACCAGGGAATTCTTCTTCCGGAACCCGGATCACAACTAAAAGTACCGTGGGCTAGAAAGCCATGCAAAAGTTTCTTTCACCTGAGGATGGAAACAAAACCAGTTTCTGAGATGATGTTTTCTTTAGAATACTGGACAATGGACAGAGTCCAGAAATTCAGAAATCACGAGACTAGCAATATTTATTTGCTTTCATAAGGTGCATCCTGTTGTGTTTACTATGTAAAATTCTTTATTAGGATTCGCCGTAACACAACAATGAAACGGTTTAGGTCAATATGACCGGATGCGACTATTTCTTAGTTGGTGGAGCGATTTGTCTGATTATTTCTGATAACGAACGAGACTCTAGCCTGGTAAATAGTCACATCCGCTATCCTTTGCGCTAGGGTGATATTGACCTAGACCGTTTCATTGTTGTGCTACGGCGAATCCTAATAAAGAATTTTTTAATATTTATTTGATTTCACAACACCAATAAAGCAAAGGAGGTTTTATTCATGCAAAATCATATTCAGTAGGTTATCTGTGTTCATTTAATAATAATTTGCAGAAAAAGTTTACAGTTTCCATAACTGTTGGCAGACATCTGTGATATCTGCCTTGTGTTATTCCACCTGCAAAGAATTCTCACCAACCAATAATATGTGAAGTTGGCCTTATGCTTGATCAATTAAGCACTATTCCATGTGGTAGTGGAGGTGTAGCCCACCATTCTTTGCCTTGGCACCAGACGGAGGTGAACTGCCAGCTTCACTCCCCGTCCGCTGTACCCCTGGGGAAGTCGGTCGCCTTACCGGTTGAATAGGAGGCTGGGTGTGCCCTAGAAGCAGCCTGAACACTGTGGAGGAAAGCAAAGTCTTGCTTGTGTCGGGAATCAAACCCCGGCCATTCAACCCTTAGCCCATCACTATATCGACTGAGCTATCCTGACATGCATACCTTTGGCTCTTCCCCAAGTGGTAAAGCGTCCGGGACGTGATGCTGGCCACTCACCTCCATAGTGCCGAGGTCAGGAATGGTGGAGTTATATCTCCACTTCCCCAGATGCCTTCATGGCGTGATGCTTAATTAATTAAGAACAGGAACATTTTACTTTTTTTTTACTTTATTTAACAACTCTTATGTGTTCTGTGTCACCCGATTCATTAATTTCAGTGAAACCACCGCATCCGTCTCTGTTTTTATGTCCCTGTGCAGTAGACCTGAATGTCGTATTAATGAAGCCCTTTTCAATTTCCAGTATGCAATCTTCCTGGCAATCTTACTGTTGCTGGAAATGACAGCAGGAATATTGGGTTTCATTTTCAAAGACTGGGTAAGCAAATTTAAATAACAGGATTTCTACCTACGAGTATATAGTCCCAAGTACCAAGCTCTGGATTATGGTATGTGTAGTTTTGATGCTGCGGAAGGGTAATCTCATGATATTCAGTGTCCAGGTAATGTAATTTGTTTTAATAGATAACAGAATATCAGTTGACTATGTTGTAACTGTGAACTACTCAGGTGTTACTTAACTCTTAGGCCGAGGGGACACCAAAGAAACTGGCAACCGTAACGCAACCGCGACTTCCGAGAATTGTTATCAGCCTGAGTTGAACACATGTTACTGAATGGAGCGGCGCAAATTGAGGAAACGGCAACGCAACTCACGGAAAACTGAGAAACTCAACTTCCAGGCAACGGGGCATGCCAGCCTTCTCACAATTGCGCTGCCGCGTCGTTTCCTAGTGTTAGCTGTTCTATAACGCGCGTCAGTGATTCGTTTGTTTCTTAAGATGGCACGAAAGTTTGACGAAGCTGCTAATTTTGTTTGTGTGCAGTTAATTGAGCAAGAGCCTGGTGTATATGACAAACGCCACTCAGACTATGCTAGGCGGGAGAAAATAGATTTGGCTTGGAAAATAATTTCTCACGAGACGAAGGAGTCCGGATCCAGGTTAAGTTCTTTCGAAACAATATAAGCGCTTCAGTTTAAATTGTCAGAATAACGGATGCACCCAATGTTTTCTCTCCCTTATATTGTATTGAAGCATTCTGTTGCATTAATATATGATTTATTTCACACATATTTCCGTCTTAAATACAAATTTTTATACACTCACCTTCTATAGCCCTTCGTCGGCTATATACGGCCATCATAAGGTGTCTTATATCTTGCTAAAATTGTTGAACTCTATATCAAAATTTCGTATCGCGTGTGAACGCGTCATTTCTTGATTAAAATAAATTGATCTTATTTAAAACAAATTAATTAACATCCAAATATTTCCCTAACGGTCGTCGTCCTCTCTTCTCACTCTGTCTCAGCCGGTCTTAACTACCACCATATTGTGACAGATCAATATTATTATCTTCCTTTGCAGAAGGTAAGTGCACGAAATTAAAAACTACCGTCGTGCATTATGTCGGACGAACATACCCACTTAAGACGATTTGAGCAACTAATCAAACGCATGCTAATCTGGGAACCAGTTACCTACTTGAAATCGTTGACATTTCTCGGAAATTGCGGTTTCGTTGCGGTTGCCAGTTTCCTTGGTGTGCCCTCGGCCTTAATGTAATATTTATATTCAGATAGTTTGAAACTCTTACATGTTTCGATGAATAGAATTTTACTGATTGCAGTGAACGTTCATGTTTTGCATGTGTACGTTACATTGTTCGTGTCCTTGTATCTATGAATAGAACATATGTGTATATTCTCATACGTTAAGTCCAGTGAAATTTTAATGGGAAGTTCTTAAAAACAAACTATGTCAAAAACATTTAACCTTAGTAACCTGAACCTTTCTCATCTAGAAGATGTGTTCTTTTTTTTTGCAATGTTTGTTTAAAGACAAACTTTGTAAATAAAATTAACCTCGCAATTTCTTCATCAATTGGTAGTCCAGTACCTAGGCTAGGAAAGGTTTAATACGTATATGATAAAGTAAAAGTTTAAAAAGTGGTACATAGGAAATTGTGATATTGTTTGGGGTATGATTACATGTAGTCTGATAATACGTACTTACCACTCTTTTAGAGGCTGGAAATCTGCCTTGGAAATGAAAACGTCTAATAGACTGCTTGGTGTTATAACCGAGAAAACTACACACAGAGATATTGGGTTTTCGGACTTTATCCATCGTCCTGGTTTTTAAGATAACTAAGAAAAACACGACGTTTCGGAAACTGGATCTGTTTCCGTCCTCAGGTGAAGGAAAACACCTATTCTGTTGGGTCCCTTAGAAAGAGCTAGCCTCACTGGTCCAGTGAGTGAGGCTAGCTCTTTTTAAGGGACCCAATAGAATAGGTGTTTTCCTTCACCTGAGGACGGAAACAGATCCAGTTTCCGAAACGTCGTGTTTTTCTTAGTTATCTTAAAAACCAGGACGATGGATAAAGTCCGAAAACCCAATATCTCTGTGTGTTATACACCATCGTCAGAATCCTAGAGAAAACTACAATATAGTGAATTATTAGTGTGAAAATCTGAATGTACGTAAGAGTCAGCACACGCTCAAATTAGTTTTAAATAAATGTTTCAAATGTGTTCTCTACGCAGATGGAGTACATCTTGATGTAAACACACACACACATATTATATACTCGTATATATATACATACACTGAAGTGCCAAAATTCATGGGATAGGTACCTAGTATCGTGTAGGACGCCCTCTAGCCCGGCGAAGTGCAGCAACTCGGCGTGGCATCGATTCCACAAGTGGACGGAAGACCTCTGGAGAGATGTTGAGCCATGCCGTCTGGATAGCTGCCCACAGCTCCCTGGTATTTGTAGGTGCAGGATTTTGGGTGCGAATGGACCTCTCCACCACGTCCCATAAATGCTCGATTGGGTTCATGTCGGGCGAACGTGGTGGCCACACCATTCGTCGGAACTCTCCAGAATGCTCCTCGAACCAATTCTGGACAACTCCGGCCCGATGACACGGTGCATTGTCCTGCTGGAATATTCCATCTTTGTGGGGGTACATGAAGTCCATGAAGCGCTGCAAATGGTCACCAAGCAGTGTAACGTAGCAGTCACCGGTCAATGACGTGTTTAGGTGGACGAGCGGACCCAACTCATGCCACGGGAACACACCCCACACCAGTATGGAACCACCACCAGCCTGCACGGTGCCTTGTTGACAACTGGGGTCCATGGCCTCATGGGGTCTGCGCCACACCCGAACCCTACCATCCGCCCGAAATAACTTAAAATTGTTTAAGCGCCCTAACAGGAACGGACATTTAAACGCAGAGTAGCAACGGGCATTTAAATAAACTCCGGCCAGCTCAATCTTACCTCTATTTCAGAAGTCCGGCGTTTAAAGGTTTAGCACCCGTGGTCGGCCACTGCGCTGTCCACGATGGGTAGAAATGCCTTCCACAAGGTATTCCCGGTACACACGTGACACCGTAGATCGAGGAATGTTGAATGACCGCACAACTTCGGAAATGGAATGTCCCATCCGCCTGGCCCCGACTATCATGTCCCGTTCAAACTCCGATAATTCATGTCGGCTTGCCTTGAGCAGACTGGTCGGTGTTCAACCTGGCTCACGAGTGAACACCTCACATCTGATACTGCTCTGGGCAGTCCCAAGCCATCAAGGGACGGTGGCGCCATTTAAAAATAAATTTACATACTGCTATCCCATGACTTTTGGCACTTGAGTGTATATATATATGTATATATATGGGTGTGTGTGTATGATTTTAATGATGTACCACAATTATTATTCGTTTTAAGAGAAAACCACAACCTCAAAATTAGCAAGACGTTACAATTATTAAGTGCCCTTTTATAATTTCAGATTAAAAACCAAGCTACTGGGGGCTTTCAAGCATTTATCATTCACTACAGAGAAGATCCTGACCAGCAGAACCTTATAGACTGGATACAAGAGGACTGGGTAGGTCTACAAATGTAATGACTGGAAGAATGACTTGTCTTCGTTCTTAAACACTGCCCATGCTCCTCCCATTGTCATACAGAAACAGTGTTATCTAGGCCAGAGTTACCATGCTAGTATTCTGCATGTTGGAGTTTTCTTCTAGATAATTCACAGTGGAAATTCACTATGATTTTAAAAATCTGTAACAACGCTTACATGAGATTTGATCCAGTCCAATAGGCCAAAGAAGAAAATGCCCAAACGAGGAAATGGTAAAACCATTAATGTAGTTCACTGATACAGAATGTTCAGTTCCGAAGGTCAAGAAGTAAAAAGTGTGTGATGTCGAATCCGGTGGCGCGGAGAGACAAGCACGTAAAGCTACAAGTTAGAATTAATATTACAGACGAGGAGGGAAGCAGAGCGTGCCCGATGAATACCGGGAAAATCTCACTTCGTAGCGGTCCAGCTAGAGCTAGTGACGGCGGTGATATTGTTGTCCCTGAAAAGGGCCGTTTGTCGGAAGCCGGGCGAAATTCTCTTCTCTCCGGGCTTGCCAGCTCTAGTGTCGGCGTTCTTCCTTGTATCAGCCTGGCGGGATGCCGGGGGAAGCTCTTGCAGTAACGGGCTAGCCGGTGCTAGTGGCAGCGAGGCCGGCTGGCCGGCGAAGCTCGTACTGCGGCTGCGGCCACAAGTAGACTCGCTGTTGCGGTGTTACTTCATGCCAGTGTCAAAGTCAAAGTCACATTGCGACTGACGGTCAGTCAGCCTGTCTTGGTATCGAGCCCCGGCTCATGACCAGCTGCTTCTTCTTGTACGAAAGTTACTGTCGTGTCCATGTGGGGCGCCCTCTTCGACGAGAGGACGGGTCTGTTATTTGTCAGTCATAGTCGGGCGTATTAAGTCCATTGTCAGTATGTACACTTATTTACAATTTCACGCTTAATATCTACTCCTGTGTACAATATATACAAGGCCTCTGTCAATCCAGGCTCAGGACAGCAGACTATGCCCTATTTCTAGTAGTCTTCGCTACCACGGCAGTCTAGAGCACTTGAACGCTCGTATGCCTGAGGGCCGCCAAGTTTAAGCCTCTTTACTTTCTATATCTGGCTTCGCCTTGTCCAGTATTGCGAACATGATTTTGTATGACTTCTGCTTGTTGCCTGCATAACTTTGTTATATTATCATATACCTACGGGATTTTGAAAGCCACGTGTAAATCGCGAACCGGCGTGCGCCTTGGAAGATTGCCAATGGTGCGGAGAACCTTGTTTTGCAAGCGCTGCAATTTCATTATATGGGTATCTTCCGCAAATTCCCAGGCGGGACTAGCATAAGTCATTACTGATCTACTGAGAGCTTTGCGGAGGGCCAATTTAATGTTAGCGCTCAATCGATCACTTTTGAATAGAGAATATACTCTAATGAATGTTCTGAAGGCCTTAGCTTCGATCATTTCTATGTGCAATCTCCATGTAACTCTCTTATCGAAGATTACACCGAGATTCAGTCAGTCTGTCTGTCTTGGTGTCGAGCCCCAGGTGGGGCTCATGACCAGATGTTTTCTTCTTTGTGAAAGTTACTGTCCTGTCCATTTGGGGCGCCCTCTCTGACGAGAGGTCGGGTCTGTCATTTGTCAGTCATAGTGAGTCCATTGTCAGTATTTACATATATTTACATTTTAATTTTAGCCCCAATTTCTACTTGTATGCACTATATATACAAGGCCTCTGTCAATCGAGGCTCAGTGCAGCAGATTTTACCCTATTTCTAGTAGTATTCGCTACCACGGCTGTTTATAGTCACTTGAACGGTCGTATGCTTGACCGCCGCCTCTTCTATGTACTTTCTATGTCGGGCTTCGCTTTGACCAGTATTGCGAACATTCTCATTATCATGATTTTGTATGACTTCTGCTTGTTGCCTGCATAATTTTGTTATATAATCATATACGTATGGGATTTTGAATGCCATGTGCAAATCGGCGTGCGCCTTGAAAAATTGCCAATGCAGCGGAGAACCTTGTTTTGCAGGCGCTGCAGTTTCATTAGATGGGTGCCTGCCGCGAATTCCCAGGCTGGACTATCATAATTCATTACGGATCTATTGAGAGCTGTGTGGAGGGTCAGTTTAATATTAGCGCTCAATCGATCACTTTTGAATAGGGAATATACTCTAATGAATGTTCTGAAGGCCTTGGCTTCGATCATTTCTATGTGTAATCTCCATGTAACTCTTATCTAAGATTACACCTAAATATTTTGCGCTATTTACAAATGGAATATTTCTTCCATTTAGAGTAAGACAAGACTCAGGCGATCGACGACCACGAGAGAAGTAGCCCCCCCCCCGAGTCTTATCTTCATTAATTTTTTATTCCTGCGCTCGCACCAGGTCTCCATTGAGCTGAGACCGCGCTAGAGTTTCCTTACAATAAAACCCTCCTTGCGATCTGTCGCTTACAGACAGGTGTCGTCCGCAAAGAGAGCCAGGTGAACACCATGTGTTCGGGGAGCATCATTTATATACAAATTAAAAAGAGTAGGGGAAGGACCGAACCTTGTGGCACCCCTGCTTCCATTTCCCTTGGTGTTGACATTTCGCCTTCAACCGAGACCCTGAATTTACGTTTAGAGAGAAAGGACGTCAAAGTCAATGCCAAAGTAATGTTGCAACTGACGGTCGGTCAGTCTGTCTGTCTTGGTGTCGAGCCCCAGCTGGGGCTCATGACCAGATGTTTTCTTCTTTGTGAAAGTTTCTGGCCTGTCCATTTGGGGCGCCCTCTCTGACGAGAGGTCGGGTCTGTCATTTGTCAGTCTTAGTCGGTCCATTGTCAGTATTGACATATATTTACAATTTCATTCTAGTCTTAATTACTATTTGTGTGTACAATATATACAAGGCCTCTGTCAATCCAGGCATTGCACAGAAGATTATGCCCTATTTCTAGTATTATTTGCTACCACGGCAAAGAAAGGACGTGTCGCTAGCGTGTCGGAAGTACTTTTGCCGCTAGTTGGCGCGCTAATCAATTGGCGCTGATAGGGTAGCGGTTGCATCACTGTGGGAGGCCCCTACAAAAAATAAACCTCGCTGGAGCCTAATGTATTAAACTTTCCGTTGTAAAAGTAAACATTCATTTTTTATCTGCAGCACCTGAATTTTTCGCAAGAAATCTTTCATTTCTCTTGGTTAATTGATACATTTAGGAAATTTTGATGTTTGCTAAGTAGTAAGATATCTTAATGATTATTGCTTTACATTCCACCATTCTGCCACCTTTGAAGTATTCATTTTGAGAAACATTTGAAGAATTTCTTCTTGCATCAGCATTGTTACACTGCTTGTGCTGGTAGAGCGTTTGGGATTTTTCTGTTATCCTGACTTCAGTCTGTTTTGCTACTTTCCTCACATCAGCACCAGCAGAACACAAATGGGCATCTGCATCATCCTTAACTATCATTATGATCACTTCCTGGCTTTACATGCTCTTCTATTTCCACACCTCTAATTCCTTCATGAATGGTCATTGTTTAAGGAATTGAAGCGGTAACAGTGACAGTTTAAATGGATCATTATATTTCAGCATCCCATTGCATTGAAGCATTATCATTATTATCAAAGCACCCGTCAATAATGCAACAGTATTTTTTTTAATATAAAACACTTTTAGTGAGAAACATATTTTAGATGTCTTTTATACATGTATTTAAAAAATATATTCTTGCATTGTTGACGGGTGCTTTGATAATAAGGTTAAATGGATTAGTTTTTGTTCTGAGGAGATGTTGCTTCTGTCATTATTTATGGGGGTTTCAGTGGTTTAGTAAGATGAATTATTAAGCTACAATAATACTGAATAATACTGCCCATTGTTATGAGGCGCCATCGCAATGATACAGCAGTGGACAAAGCATATTATAGAATATGTAGTACAGTAATATAGACTACAACATAACATTAACTATTGAAATGCAGTCACACCGAAGAAGAAATAAGGTCATTTGCCTCTCAAGAAAGCAGAACATAGTGACAGTATTGTAGCAAATTAAGGCAGTAAATAGAAGAATTTTTGGAAGAAACTAATATCAAGATAAGCATGGTCTACTACAGCACAATGACACAAAGCCAATTGCAGCCCATGACATTTTTACACTTTGAAATAATTTTAACTCAATTTAAATTGAAAATTATTTTTACACGAAAACTCATACCTAATCCCAATTTAATTCAATATCCAATAAATAGTATATAAGTAAACAGTAAGAAGTATACATAGAATATAGCCACTTTATGGCTTATGTATGTAAACTAGGAATATAGTCTTTTATAATTGTAGGAATATAGTATTTAACACTTGTACAACAATAAGAAATATTCAAACAAGATCATGTGTTATGATTCAGTAATTAATTGTGTAATCAAGAGCACCTGAAGACGACCCCTTGAGGTTTGAAACACGTTGTGTGGTTTAAATTAATAAACATTTGTTGCATCGATGGCAAAATTGGTTAAAATTAATATTGTTAGTGATATTGTACAATATTAAATTGTTAGACCATGCATGGATTGGACTACAAGGACTGGACAGATATGACCGTTGGACCTTCTGCCATGGACCTTTTGGAATGGATCATATGTCTGATAATTGTAACAGTCATCTCTTATCACAATAATAATATTTTCTTTTGCTATTTACATTGTTTGGATAATCATTTATTGGAGACTGGTTTTACCTCTGTCTTCAGGTACAGAACAGTATATCTGCTCTTTGGGGCCAGTTTAGCAAGGCTGGTTCTAATCATTGGGCACAGTAGCAAATAAACTGTAGTTTTATGTACATTGCATAGGAACGGTTTGCAAATATCCGTGGATTACTGTTTGCTGCCATTAACACATCAACTTTTTTGTATTTTTAAAAAATTCTGCATGGGAATAAGTGCTTCTTGTGAATTCAGTGCTTTCAGTTTTTCACTGATGAATGTGTACAGTATTTACATACATGGTGAAGGCTTTATATTTTAAATTGTTTCAGGGAATGTTGCATTGTTTTGTTTTAACTAATGTGTATGAGTCATATACAGGTTTATGTAGAACAAAAGTTCCATACACATCCCATTTGACAGCTTTCTATGTACATCTTTATGTTACAAATATGATCATTTATAACAGATGTGTATAAAATTACAGCCCTTATTACTCACCACATGGGAAAATGAAATTCAGTGGTTGGTGTACTTTTAACTGTAATTAGTTTATAGTATTTTAATTTCTGGATACCTATGCTGGGATTATCATTTGTAGTAAAAGTTCTGTTTTTTTTCCTTATTTATTCAAATGATCTCCTAGCACCTGTCTACATGTCGCTACTGCTTCCCCTTTATTTCTCCCCTCATGACAGTTGATTATAAGCAACATTCTTTAATTTTCATTGATGTATCGTTCATTTTATTTGTGTGTTAGTAGTTTGATGATGTTAGTAATTCAAAGTATAGAGCTTTGATAGTAATAATAAATTGTAAGGGATACAGGGAGAAGCAGTGTTGGCTTAGATTGAAAGTAAAGAGGCCGGGGCGTGAAACTGCCCACTCACCTCCAACTAGTGCAGAGTTGAAGGATACGTGGATCATTGCATCCACTCCCACATGTCTTTGTGGTGTAGTGCTTAATTAATTAAGCACAGGAGTAACTTTATCTTTACCTCTGACATTTTTTTAATCTGATCCATTGATTACATCTACAATGATACCATAACTAAATACAACTTGCTTTAATGACTAGCACATTAACTTAATCCTGTTATTTGGACGAATATCTTCCAATTGTTACACAGTTCGGTTTTGATTAATTTTATTGTGATATGTTAAAGGTATTAATTAGGTCATGCTTGAACATTACAGAGATGTGAACATAATAGCAGTTCTTTAGGACAATTAAATTGGCACTTTCATATATGTGTTGCAGCTGCAATGTTGTGGCATAGAAGGCCCCAAGGATTGGGATCGTAATAATTACTTCAATTGTTCATCAAGAGATGTTGGAAGTAGAGAGGCTTGTGGTGTACCCTTTTCCTGTTGTAAACGGAAGCCAAATGTAAGTACATGTTAAGCAATAATTAAGGAGCTTTATGCTCTTATCACAGAAGCTGTGTGTTTTGTGGGATACAGTGTGGCTCTGGTTGCCAAATTGGGGTGCTCCTCTGTACTTACTCCCCCTCTTGTTTCATAATGACTTACAAAATTACAGTTTAGTATGTTATGCATCCTACTAAAAAATGCCAGCATTGTATGAAAGTTTCTAATTATTGTGACAGTTTTCTCTCACAAAAAATTATGGGTGGGGGTCATGTCACTAATAAGATGGATTAGTGTAGATTAAATTAGCATATCTTTAACCCTGTTGCTGCGATATTCAACTGAAGTCAAACAAGCATTCATTACTGTATAATGTGACATTTGTCTTAGCCCACATCAAGAAATAATCATCTCCATTTACTTCATCATTCAACTCCATTCATGTAAAGTAAAACAGACGAAAGTAAAGCTATCCCTGTACCAGGCCATGAAGGCCCATAGGGTTGTGAGATGTTGAGGGTCCCACATTATCTAGACAGTCGGTTCATAGCTGGCAGTAAGGTTGTCAGCCTTACAGGCCAGCCACACTTTACTCCCCAGAAAAATTATTTAATTAATTCCTGGTGCTCATTTGTGTTAGAGGCTCAGTGAACCTCAGGGCCATAGTGCGGCCGGAAGGATTAGGTCAATTGAAAAAAATCCAATTACCTCATTGGGACTTGAACCTGCCACCTTCCGGCTTGTAGCATAGCCCCTCAGCCTTACAGGCCAGCCACACTTTACTCCCCAGAAAAATTATTTAATTAAATCCTGGTGCTCATTTCTGTTAGAGGCTCAGTGAACCTCAGGGCCATTATGCGGCCAGAAGGATTAGGTGAATTGAAAAAAATCCAATTACCTCATCGGGACTTGAACCTGCGACCTTCCTGCTTGTAGCATAGCCCCTCAACCAACTACACTACCGCATACCCCCAAGTCTATTCATGAGGCTGTGAAAATGTATTTTTGTTGCTTCTGCCCCCTCACCCATATTTATACCTTAAAATTACATTATTCTAGGCAAATTATGAGAAAATAATATGCTGGAAAATGCTTAATCTAAATATTCCAAGCTCTGGGAAATATGATAATGAGACAAGATGAGGACTTACTATGAATACTCATATGCTCATTACATGACTGCATTAATGTAAGTCATGCTCAGAACTGTTTTTCTTATTACAAACTGATCTAATTGCATATCTCATATCCAGTGAAATCTTGAATAAAATATTATGTGGATGTTATTTTGGACATTGTCCCTTGTATCTAGTGTATGTATATATATTGTGACATGTTGCGCAAAGCCGAGCCCCCCCCACCACACCAGCAGTGACGCGGCGGGTGAGTCAGCGCTCCCTCCCACCCCTCAGCGGTAACGTAACGCTCGCGTAATAGGCGAGTAATCACCCCGCATCCTGGCAGCTATGCGCGGTGACGTCACGAGCGGAGCCGAAGAGAGCCGAGCGGAGCCGAAGATAGCCGAGCCCCGTAACCGGGTAACTATGCAAGGCGAATCAACAGCGGTGACGTAACAGGATGACGTGGCACTCATTACGCAACCGGCAAGCACTGCAGCTATATAAGTAAGCTGCACAGCTGGTACCAGCCAGTTCTAATGTGGCTACCAGCGAGTTATAAAGTGACAGCCGCCGAGTTGGAATGTGACAGCCGCCGAGTTGTATTCAGAGTCAGTCAGCCAGTCAGTTGAAACATAGCAGCCTGCGAGTGTGCGATAACTAAGAAGTCAGCGAGCGGAAGACTTATTGTGTGCTTTCCGGACATAGTGATTGCTGTAGTACAGTTATACTCGGAGTGTGTATTTCAGGGAGACTTGTATAGCTCCCGCGTTAGTAGTACGTGAAGACAAGTGAAGACAGTGTTAAGAGATTTGTTGTAGGGTTTGTAAAGTGTGGAAACCCGTGATATTGTGATAATTAATTGTAGCCGATAGTTGTAGATTGTTCAATAAATCAATTAACGATCTCTACGGCGTCTTTCGGTAACGTAAACACGTTACAATATATATATCGTATTTTGGAAACTGGGTCTGTTTCTGTCATTATGTGTAATGGGAAAAGGATCCTGTTTATTTGGCCCCATTAGAAGCAGGTACTCTGTATCACCAGTGACTAGTGATGAAGGCTAGCTGTTCCTAAAAGATCCAATAGGGTATAAATTTCTTCCCTTTATACCTGATGCTGGAATTGGATCCGGTTTCTGAAATGTGTATATGTAACTACCTGAGGCAGAAGACATTTTTCGATATAAAATATGTAATGAATCAGCTGCTGAGGCTATATATTATTTTCTACTTGCATATTTATTAAATCACAGTTGAAATCTCTGTCATTGTACGTATAATAGGATAATTGTTTGTAGTTCTGTTTTTAATTTGAGGGTGCCATTTTACTTAGAGCTATATTTTTCAGTAACAACTATTAAAAAATGGAGACAAACATAAGCTGCTGTTTCATTCAACCCAAGGAAAAATATGAGTATTAATGGCCAATGTGGTTTCCTCTGCACCATTGTACGATTAACCTACATACATACATACATACATACATACATGCGTACATTACATTCCATAGATCCAAAGTAAGAATGACTGTAGGATGTGGAACAAGTCATACAACTACAAAAGCCATAAATACAGTAGAACTGAGACACAATAAAAAAAATACATCCACATATAAGTCAATACTGTCAACTTATGCTATGTACATAACCTTTTAAAAGGATGAGTCATTTTTAAACAGTAGGAATTCATCAACAGAGTAGAATGAGTGTGTATTTAAGTATTGTTTCAGTGCTAATTTAAATTGAGCCTAGGGTAGATGAAGGGACTGATTACCTTGTAGAACCACTGTCGCCTGTTGATTAAGCTATTGGCCAGGTCTAGTTCTCCTTCCTCTATATCAGCAACATTTTGTTCTGTGCTTGGCTTAGTTAGTTAGTTATTAGAGAGGGTGGGTTTCCCCATGCACTTAGACCTGTCTTGGTCCATTGTGCTTCCCTCTATGATATTCTACCAGTCTCTATATCCTACCGGTACTGGTGCTTACCATCAGTCCCGCCCAGCCAGTGAGATCGGTCTCTACTAGCTGAGTGGTATCTATAATGCTTCCCCCATCTACCAGAGGTATTAGAGACTACTGTTGGGCGGGAAACATCCGTAATTTTGCTGTGGCCTCCTTTGGAGACATGAGGTTCTTTTACGTGCCATAAAACTATGACACGGGACCCACGGCTTAAAGTCCCCTCCAGAGGACTTGTTCCCTGAATTTTTCCGCCCTTAAAAATTCGACGACCTCCGCCGGGTATTTGAACCCGTGTACTACGAGTCATGAGGTGGGAACGTTACCTCTAGACTACGGAGGCCGCTTCATGCTTGGCTTAATCTTTATATATTGATATTTCATCTCTGTGTGAATTTTAAATTAATAATGTGGATGTGCATTATACCTATTTGAGACCCAGTGGTACATATTTGAATTCTGTGTTTTAAATAAATAAATAAATAAAAGATCTTATCAGAAAGCTATGCAACAGTGAAATGAGGTTCTCACGGTGATGGAATGTCATGCCATGTAATCTGATAGAACTTTCCAGACTTTTGGAGAGACATGCTGCCTCCTCCTTCAGAGTAAAAGAGTAAATATATAGTGGAAATGAAGTGGTGCTGATATACGAGTATTGAAGGGAGACCAGGACTGGGACTGTGAGTGTACCAGTAGGGGGTAGTGACTGACACAAAGAAGTGACAGATACACCTAGGGTAGATGAAGGGACTGATCACCTCGTAGTACCACTCGTAGCAACACTTTGTTCCATGCTTAGCTTAATCTTCTACGCTGAAGATGGGGCAGCAGATCACTTTGGAATGTTTGTAATGATTACTAAACTACACCCCATCACATCCCAGGAGGAAGTTACCATTAATGAAATGATTATGCTAATCAATGAAATTATGGTAAACAAAAGAAGGAGTCTTTAAATTAAATGTATAAGCTCATTCCAAATCCAGAAAAAGAATTTTTTCTGTTATGCCACAGTCTTGTATATTGAATCTTGAGCCAAAAATGCAGTCTTTCACCTTTACATTTTTCCTTTGTGTTATAATAATTTCATCAACAATAATGTGAGAAAATTATATGCTGTTGAAATGCCATTATTTCAAATTGTGCAGTGAGGTCTGAACCAAAGTGACCTGCCCTTAAGTTGGAATTGGAGTAGGCTTTTTCCAGCTAGAGCCATGTTATCAAAAAAATGCTTCTTACAAATTTTTCACTGTCGTTTTTGTAGTCAGTAAACCCATATGACTCAAAATCAGCTAATTTTCTACATATTACTGAAAAAAGTGGAAATTTGTTGTGCTGTTTAATTTTGTCTCATGTGAAGTTTCCAGTTTATTATTAATGACAAGATTTTCTTTGAGAGGAAGTGACAGGAAGGTACAGATTTGTTACACCATGCATAATCACCTTTTTCTTCCTTTTCATCCACAGGAGATTATTAAAAACAAGCAGTGTGGATATGATGTTCGAAAACCTGGTTATGTAAGTATTATCTGCTCAATGTATTAAGTATACTTGCTTGGAAATGCTTTTTGTTTGTATGTTCTACATTCGTGCTTAATCAAATGGTAGATTTATAAAAGTTCATGACAATGATAATTTTTTCAACATTATCCAACATTCTAATTTTTGTTTAAAATGACATTTCTCAGAATGGACTGTGTCAGTGGAATATCATTTTAAATGAAAATTGATTTAATAATGTACAAAATATATATCACTGTGGGAAGATTTATGTTTCCATATAATTTAATTTCAATTAAAAGTCTTTTTCTCTGGAGGACAGTAATATGAACCTCATTTCTATATGCATAAGCGTAACATCTCAGTTTATGATCTTAAAATAGAAACCATTTGTAGTATGTGAAAAGTTAATGAAACATGAAATTATTACTTAATACAAGAGATGTTGATTGGATTCATATTTGATAACAGAGACCTTCAGAAAGTACTGCTTGAAATGCTTTAGCAGCATTCCTTGTAATGAATTTTTTAATATTGCTTGCATATTACTCATACATACATGTATATCTGTGTGTATCTTCTAAATATTTCCATTTGGTGTAAATTAGCTAGGAAGTGGGTGCATAGTGTAATAATTTTGGTGCTTTTGCTCGCTTTTGTTTAATTGTTTTTAAAACCTTTAGAATTATAGTTATTGAGATATCCAAATGTGTGCTTTATTTTGCCCTGTAATCCTTGTTCAAGATATGTACCACTGTGATAAATATGTAGTGAGTTGCTCTCCAGAAGCATACAAGAATGCACATAAGCCTTCTTGTAAGTGTTTGTTACTGTTGTTTGATTTTAACAGAAACTGGAATGTTCGTTGAGTGGTTCTTGAATTGTGCTTGCAAACAAAGAGACATGGCAGAGACAGTAGTTACATTTTTGCAACTTTCTGTTGCTATCACACTAAAACAGCATATCGGCTTGCAGGGCTTTGAACTGTCTGAAATAAATGTTCAGTTTCATGAATAATCTCATGTTCTTATCCTGTTCTGGTTCAGCAGTTCACACATAAGACTTAAAAGATTCAGTAACCAGTTAGAACTATATCCAGGCCAGTTCACAAAATATAGAAAGTAAAAAAGACTAATCTTAAATATCTTTATATAAGTATAAAAGTAGATGTTTTATAGTGTTGTGCCTTGCTTGTATACATTTATTACAGAGATACATCATCTAACCCAAGCTCTATTTTCTGTCAGTGTAGTCACCACTAGAGCTTTGGTCAGTTAGGTGGCCATCCTATGGGCATATACATAATACTAATTGTAACCCTGTTTGTTTGATCTGTTCAGTGTTTCATTAAATCTGTCTTGAAATCACATAAAGCTGAATATTAAAAGAAATCAATTTGTAATATTGGTTTACAGAATTTAGTTCTTGTTTATCAAGTTGTGATGTGTTATATAACACTCCAATTTGCATTATTGTTTCAACAGTTAGCTAGCCCTGATTTCTTTCGTGCACTATGATGAGATGAAATTTGTACAAAATGTATTTAAAGATGGATAATTTGTGCATTCAGAAGATATTATTGATTCAGGTACACAGATTTACAGACATGGTGATACTGTAAGTCAGTTTATTCGTATTTTTTAAAGTAAGGAAACTAGACTAAATGCAAAATTCTTGTATAAAGAAGGAAGTACTGATATCCATGTGAATTCATATAGAAACTGACAACCTGACACCAGTACACCATTGTCTTAAATAGAGTCTGTTTCTTCGCTCTTCAAATGTAGGGTTGAACATCCCAAAATTAGCCAGGCCATACTGCCGTACAGCAGTTTTGCAGATGATCAATTTCAATAATATTTCGCTCTAAGAATACAGTTATGAGTTTGGAAGTGCACAGAGGCTGAAACTAGGACTTGATGCAGTCAGTCAGATAACTACTAAGGAAACAATGTGAAGTCCTGACCACTGTGTGGCAGCTTTCATTTCACATATCGTGTGATATGAGCTCTTTATTATTACGAAAATATACTTTCTGTGTAAACATCCCTGCTCCCTGAGGTGCAATATTTGAAATCAGTTTCCAGAAGAATATAACAATATTGTAACAAGTATATTTTGAATGCTCTGAGATTAATACTAGTTTCACAGTGACACTTGACAAATTATTGACAACTTATTTACAGTTGTAAACACAGAAAAGTATGCAATATCCAGCAACACAAGCTAAACACTACAGCCACAAATAATCCAGTGCCACTACAGCTCACAGAATATCTGTGTTTACTTAATTTATTTTACATATATCCTGGCTAGCAAAGCACAGTTTTGTTTCAGTGCTTCATATACAAAGCCTTCTGACCAGAGGACTGGCTTCTTACCCTGGCAAATCAGTTGTTGCTAGTAAAAGTCTTCATGCCAATATGCAGAGATACTAGAAAGAGGGGATGTTTTTCACAGATTATATTGTTTTATGATGTTTTTTAATACTTTTAGTTGAAAAGATTCAGGAAGGAACTGTGACTTGTTGCTATTTGCATCCAGAATAAGGGCATTTTGTATCTCATTAAATTTCAAAAGGACATCAGATTAGCAAAAGTTGTTCATCAGAGGTAATGTCAACTGGTTTGAACCAGTTTGTAAGAAATAATTGGTTCAGGTTCACTGTTTGAGTTTCATTCGTTTAAATGGCTTAGATTTGGCAAATTTATATATTTTAATGNCATCCACATTTTTCTAGACAGTCAGCTCACAGATGGCAGTGAGGTTGTCAGCCTTATGCACCAGCCACCCTTTATCCCCAGGAAGATTCCTGTAACTCATTTCTGTTAAGGGCTGCCTTGACCCCAGGGCCATAGTGCAGCTGGAAGAATTAGGTCATTTGAAAAATCCAGTGACTTCATTGGATGTTGAAACGTTTGAGAAGATATTTTTGTATGATGTGAAAATGCAATCAATGACTCTGCGAGGGAACTTCAAATTTGCGTTGCCCATTTTACTGAGTAAATCTTGACCAATATGGCTGAATACAGTATATGGAAGGTGGTGAAGCATGAGTGCTTTTACAGATGTTGTGTGTAGTTTGTCATGTTGGTGCTGAAATGCAAGAAGCAGGCCATTCCTGTTTTTGCTAGGCATGTCTGACCCATAGTAATTGTGTTCATAAATGTAAAATAGCTTAACTCCTCCTTTTTGACAGATGTCACCAATGAAAATATAAGAAGTGTTTGTCTGAGAGTCCATTTGGGTTGGGTGAGGTTTCAAAAGTTGGTTAATTGTCATTCCTCAAACTCATAAATTGGATCTGTTGCTGTTGTATTGCATCTTCCGCTTTAAAATAAAGAATGAAATGTGTTCATATTCCAAGATATGTTGAGGGTGGGATCATACTGTAATAGAACCTTCTCCAGATACAACTTTGCTAATAATATTCCAAAATATGCTCGGTGGAGTTCTGCCAGATAATATAAAATATGCTGGCGGAGTTGCATAAACATGGCCATAAACAAGTATCTCAAGCATTGGGAGACATATATACATATATATTTTGTTTATGAACTATTATTTGTACCATCATGCTGTTAGTTTCTAGTCCAGAATTTCATAAATGGAAAGAAATTATTCCAGTTGTGATTATAACAAAAATTTAACTTTTCAGGAAATTGGAAGCCAGTATTTCTATTTTTTAATCATAGGTGAATTAGTAGATTGTAAAGGGTTCTGATGGTGGTGTATAACACTCAGAATTGCTGGGTTTTTGGACGTTCTCTATCATTCGATATTCTAAAAAACTAGAGAACACAATGTTTTGAAAACTGGATCAGTTTCTAAAATGTTGTGTTCTCTGTTTTTTATAATACTGGACAATGGACAAAGTCCAGAAACCCAGCAATTCTCATAAAAGATCTAGTTATTATGTTTGTTAACTGTTATATAACTCCTAATATTATCATTATTATATTCATACATTTTCTGTAAATTCTGTTTGTTTTGTGTCTTACTGAATTAGCTTAGTAATTAGTACATGAAATAATATTTATGAAGGACATTATTATGCGATATTTATGTTATAGAGCTGTGTGTGCTGATAAGCTGTGGGAGGGTGTACATTTTTCATTGCATGTAATGTCCTGTGAACTAGCACAGCAATTGTTACATTGTATTTGCCTTGTAATTATAGTGGAGCTGAATGGATGTTTGTGTGCCTATTTGCTTACATATTCTTGTCTGTTCTTTGCGCTGTTCTTTGCACCTTCAGTAAAGTTACATTTATTATGCATTTAATCCAGTATCATTCCATCCTGTATTTTATACTTCTCCTTTTCCATATTTATTCACAGCATGGTGTCAAAGGAAGAGTGATCACATTTTAAAGATTTTTACTATGAAAATTAGTAAAGCTACAAGAGTGCAATTTTCACCATATGAAGAGAAGTCATGAAATGTATATTTATGCTATGTGCTGTATCAAGTGTCCATTGGTGTGCATGTGTACCACTTTGAGTGACATGGGAGAGATCAGAGAGGCCAATCAGGAGTTTCTCAGAGAGTGTCATCCATCCAACAGAAGTTTGCATATGTGTGGTGGATGGAGAAATGAAATCAGTTACAAGTGATCAGAGAACATTCAGAGTTATTTATGATGATAGCAATGCATTCTCATGGAAACTGCTGACTGACCTCTGTAATCTCTCCAATCTGGCACGTGGGTACATCCATGTTTTGCAAATGCACACTTATAGTTTTATTAATTGTCACAATAAAAAGCCTTAAAATCTGCTTATTCTTCCCTGGACTTCCTGTATATTTCTGTATGTTTAATGGTTGGAATCTCTGTTGAATTTGAAATTCTTGTGGTGGTTACTGTACAGTCGCCTGGTTTGTGAGACAGTGCAATCTGGAGAAAGCGTGATGTTTCTGAGGAACCCATCACTTGCATCTTGAGAGTTGAAGTGTAAGCCAAGCAAGAAACCAGCAGATGCAAGCAGCTGGCTCAACTTTCTGCCTGCTTCTGCTGG